TTTTTCAAGCTAGTAATTCCAGAGGTAAACCTATGTTTGATTTATTGTGTATTGATAACGTCTGTATGATACACCTGTCCAACATATAAAAAAAATTCTACCATTCTATGGAGAATGCTCGTGCATGCTAAACTTCCGTACGTTAAGTAGATCATTAGAAATAAAGATATTCTACCATAGATTAAACAGGAGAATGCTTGTGCATGCTAAACTTCCATACGTTAAGTAGATCATTAGAAATAAAGATAATTCAGAATAATTACCTGTTTATGTTGTGGCACATGCGTGGTATGAGCCTGGCAAGAAACATAAGAGACTCCCAGTGTGGAGCATCTTTACTAGAGATCCCACAAACATAGCTGTATGAACGACAGTCGCCCTATAAATTTAAAAAAAAAAAAAAAAAAATTTGAACACGAAGTTTGCTGCCAAAATAGTTCACAATACTTTCCCGTTCATGCCATAGGTTACAGGACCGTACCTTGTGTCAACACTTAGCAGACAGTACGCTGAGAGATACCAAGTGAATGAGAAAATACAGAATAAGACAGACGTCTTGCGAGCTAACAAGAGCATATATAAGGAAAACTTTCAGAATGGAAAGATTCATATAAGGTCACTTGAGCATAGGGTTTGATTGTGTATTGTTATTTTGATGGCACCATCTGAAGAAAGCCTGTGATGAAGCGTAGAAATCTGCTGATGATATTGCTATTTAAGAAAAGCTGACTGCACGGAGTTACACAAGAGACACACAAGGTTAAGCAGCTGATAATAAAAGATGTCATTCAATACTGATAAAGCAAAGAAAGGTACTTCACAGCTATGACTACTCAGTAATCTTCCAAGTTACTGCACGCAATTCCAAGAGAGTGCCAGCTCAGCGTTTGGTGACAGAAACGCAAACCAAATACAAAGGACAGCCCACAAAAATTCTGGTGGCATTAGCAAAGCAGTGAAAGGAAAGAAAACGCTATGTCACTGCACAGATTCAAGTGTACCCGTATCCTGAACAGCCTGCACTGCTCTGGTTCCTTTCCTGACAAGGATAAGGATATAGTACAGTTCGAAAAAGTACAGGAAAGGCAACAAGTGTGTTCAAAGTAGGAAGCAGGCGTTTTTTTGACCAACTTAGTCTAGGACTCCCCAGCCCTAAAGGGGGCAACAGGATTACAGCAGAGGTCTACAAGATTATGAAGTCATGAAGAAACTGCTTGTAAGTGACCAGCATTATTCAACCTTAGTGATATCCTCAAATACAATACCTGGCATTTACTCAAATGTCTATTCAGATGTCTTGACACCTTTGCACTACACCAGTATTGACAAACAACAGTAACATAGGTATCACAGTCACTTGAAGTTTATGTTCTCGAGTCAAGCCCTTTATTTTCAATCTTAAAGCAGCAATTATTATGCTTCACTGCAGCCTGCCACACTGCTAGGAAGCAGCTTTCAGAACATCCCTGGAATTAATCCATTTACCTGCACTCCCACAGTTTTGATTGGTAACAAGAAGGCATTCAGTGAATGTAGGCTTGTAATCTGCATCAGCTTCTCCTGGTCTTCTTCAGTTGTACAAGCTTTGACTCTTTGCAGCAAAGTATGTGGCTGTGCAATGATGCAGAAAAATCATTTTTAATTAAATAAAGCCCCCAAGCACACAAACAGAACTTATGAATAATGATTTTATTTGTAGCTGATTGCTTAAATTTAGTCCACATTTACCCCTTGGAACTATTTTAAAAATACCTTTTATTTAACAACTAAATTTTAGCAAAAGCAGTTTTATTTCATTGGACGGCATGTAGTTTAAGCTGAAGCTTTCCAAGGCCGTAAGTCAAGCTCTTTTCCTATGCTCATTCTCTCTTTCACAAAGCTACACTTTTCATTTTTGTTTTTATTTCAGATATAGAACAAAGCAATATCCTGTTACACTACACTGCAATTCAACAAGTTTTCAAGGAAACACTCCTCTTCAGTGTTTTGGACGTTGTTTTGAGCTTAAGACTTTGACTTAGAGCAGGCCTCTGCTAACGACATCCAGCCCCCTGCAGTTTAGTTCAAGTGAGCTTACAGCAATTGTGAAGGTCGTAACAGTTAAGAGATTGAGAACTTAAACATCATCGATTAAAAACTTCAGGTTTCTGTTCAGGACATCTGGCAAGCACTAGTTCCTCACTCCTGCACCTTCATTTAGGTATTCAGTGATTGATAGGGCGTGCAAATCTAGAAAGTTACAATTATTTCAGGGAGGGAAAAATCTCCAGAAATCCTCATCTGCACAAAGTTTAACTAAAACAAAATTTATTTACTATTTGAAAGGTATATAAACCTCCATTTTCCAGAAACTGTTTAACACTTACACCAGCAAAAAATTCTACTGTACTATACTGAATGGCTTCAAGTGAGTTGTACTGGAATGCATTACTCCTTAAAGAGCAGAAGTAGTTTTAAACTTTTAGCAGCTTAAACCTCATTGCAGGCCGCTACGGAATGATCATACTACTTTTATGCATATTAGAATTTAGCAATTTTGTTACCTTCTTAACACTTGCAGAAAAATCTGCAACTATTTTCAAAATGTTGTTTGTTTCAGGAAAGTCTTTGCACACATAAGGCTCTTCAGCACATATCACTCTGATTGCTAGACCAGGACCTGCAATGCAAAGTTGAGAAAACATTATACTAAATAACAGGAACGCTGACTTTCATTTAAAAGTGTGACAGCATCTGGAACAGCAGTCAATCATTGAGTACAGTACGCTTTGCCATTGTACCTATACTTCTATTGTTTTAACACCCTACAAGACAAAAAATACGCAGTTTATTCCGGAACAACACTTCTGTTCAGTACATTTAAGCATTATTTACCTACACCTTAAATGGGATGGTTGTTTAAAGCCGCAGTTACTGGTGATGAAGTGCGGCGGACGGCAAGCCAAAGTGAACAGGAACCTCCTCCTTCCCTTTGCTAGGTGACTGGGATGAAGGAGTTAGTTATAACATACAGTTGAGTCTAGCAGTTTATTCCGGAACAACATTTCTGTTCAGTACATTTAAGCATTATTTACCTACACCTTAAATGGGATGGTTGTTTAAAGCCGCAGTTACTGGTGATGAAGTGCGGCGGACGGCAAGCCAAAGTGAACAGGAACCTCCTCCTTCCCTTTGCTAGGTGACTGGGATGAAGGAGTTAGTTATAACATACAGTTGAGTCTCCATTGTTTTTAAAGACCCCTGAAGGCTATTTGACCTTTTAGCTCCTTAATACAAAAGCACATTAATTTGCTGGAAGTGTCTGAAGACAGCTTCTTGCGTTTCATGTGATGCTGGTACATTTGCACAACAGCCTACGCGCTCTGCCAGTGACTACTACACACCCTGCAGGACAATTTTAAAACACATGGACAGAAAAACATAACCCCCTTAAAAGCGCATGGGCTTCGCTATATTATATGTTTTCTGGTGGAGAACTGTTGTTATTTTCCATGCAATCATTTTCAAAACATCAAACGCCCCTTAGAAAGGCAGGCAGCTCTAGGCCATTATTTCAAGTGAGATACATTTGACAGCTCAGGCAGCATTCAGCTGCACTTCACTGGTAATTACTGCTTTGGCTTATACAACTAAAAAGAAACAAATACAGCTAAAAGCAAACTCAATTATAAAACTTTTCCTTTAATCACTATACATAATAAAGCTGCTCTCAAATGTTCTTTTCCTGAAAAGAGATCCTGCTTAAGTAAAAACTAATAAATCCATCAATTTTTCCTGTTTGAAGGCAAGTTTTATGCTCCAACATAAATTTATTCTACAGGTTAAGTATATTGTAAACAATACTGATGTGATCTAAGTAGCACAGACCAACTCTCATACCTGGGAAGGGATGCCTCGAAACCAGCTCTTCAGGAAGACCAAGCTCCCTCCCTAGCACTCGCACTTCATCTTTGTGAAAGTCTTTCAGCGGTTCTATTACTTTACCCTTAAAAAAAGAAAAAGCAATTTACACTCCAGCTTACATATTCAAACAAAAAGTCTCAAATGCTTAGGTTATGGCAGTCAAATTGGCCTGCTTTTCACAGCATCGGCTGCCAACACTTGCAGAAACACTGGAAAGAAAAGTACATGTGAATGTGTGAATGTGGGCTTTGTAAAAACAGTTGCAGGACAGAGGCTAAGACAAGGAAGTTTAAGTTCCTGCCAGAGGTATCAATGGCTCAATCAGTGTAGATACAGCTGTAGGTCAAGCCTGCTCTGTCTGTCTTCAGAAATTCAGACCTTTCTTCTCTTCCCTAGATGTTCAAACCAATCTAAAAGCCTTGAAAATACTTTGCACAGTATTAGAAGCGTGGGTCAGTAACGGTTACTTTCTGTCCTATGGTTGGGCACTTACTAATAACTGAGCACCTTCCAACAGGGTTATTACATGATGTCTTGTGTTGATTCTTTCTTATTTTATAGTGCAGTTAGAGAACTTACCATTCTAATGTCAGAAAAGGCAAAACAGGGCAGTCCCCTACATTTACTTCATATGCTAACAGTTAAGAGCTCTGCACGAGAAAGGTATTCAAAAAACTTTTCTGGACTTTGGACTAAAGAGACCAATTGGGAGTGCAATCAAAGGGACAGGACTCGGGCTGCTTATCTTCAGAGAGTTCAACCTCCTGTGTTCGTATCATCTTTAACCTCCTGGTCATCATCCATAGACGTCCATGTTGGGCCATTGCAGAAAGATTTGTGGGTTCTTAAATTGACAACTGGCAAACAGATTGTGTGCCACCAGCGCGCTGCTGGTAGACAGCCGATCAGGCTACTAGTAACGTGATGGAGAAGCTGCATAAGAACAGAAAAAGAACTCATCCCTGCAGGTACCTGAAGGAGCTATCCCTAGATTTCAACCCGTTTAAATGTATTATTCTCATGCCCTCTCAAGAGAGAGAATATTATGCTTGCAGTGCTGAATGTTACTAGAAGTTCAAGAGAAGGAGAATTTTGGCCCTCTCTCTCAACAGGAGCTGAGTATCTTTTCACTAAAGCACTGTCACCGCTCTTGCCTGAATCCATAATGTGCCAGATCTGGACTATCAGTACCTAAAGGTTACCCATTGACTAGTGTTCAGAACAAGAGACAACAGAAGGAGTAAGTGACCCATTACATCATGATTTCCAGCTGAACCAGAATAAACTTGTCTGAGAAGTCTTAAACTACTCTCCTGCTAAAGGCATTTGGTATTGCTCTGCTTCCTTACTAGGATGCAGGTTTGTTTTGAGGGTTAAAAAGTAAAAGAGTGAGGAAACAGCTTTCAGCTTGCAGCTGAGGACACCATTGTTCACGCTGAATGAATCCACATTCAATCTGTTGACATCTTCCTCAGTATCCAATGCTGGACAATACTCAAACAATTTTGACTGCTTTAGGAATGTAGCAATTAGAAAGAAGTGTAATAAATTGCAACATATTACAACAGAATCTAAACAGCCTCATCAGAATAGGGTCCCATCAACATGGGACAGTTACACTAGCAAAACACAAAAGTTGTTCATTTTTGATACTCAGCTTCACATCTGTAAGAACCAGAAGGATACACCAGTATCCTCATTTTCATTTACCTCTTCTCTTAACTTTCGAATCAGCTCTGTGTCATTATGATGAGTTTTGATGACTTCAGCTTTGCCACTTGCAACAAGGGAAGCACTTTCAATGAGATCAGGTCTGAGGGTACCCTGAGCAAGAAAAACCTCTTCAGGTTTCAGATTCATTTCTCCGATAACTTCATTGGCAATCTGTAAGATGGAAAGAAAAAAGAAAAGTGTTCTGATCTACTTTTTGGTTGTCAAAGGTCTGAAGAAAGATAACGGATTGCTCAAACGCTACTGAGATGCAAAAGCACAAACAGGAAGACTAATTACGACACTATCCCACTACTGAAATAGTCCTATAACGCCATATTTTGTTCAACAGAAAATGGAAAAAATATCTTCAGACTACAGGAACCAGGAACATCGCTGCCTGTTAAACGTTATATTCTCCCTGCACCACTGACACTGATTGCTGACAGATGGAAAATGGCTTATCTTCAGCAAAGCAACAGAAGCATGCCCCAATTCACGTTACCCATCAGTTTGGTGAAAAAACATTACATGCAAGTTTATGCAACAGAAATGAATGGCCAACCAGTACAGTATATCTAAACATGATGGCGCATCTAGTACAATGCATGTGAATCATGTCGTGACCACTGACTGACTGCCAAAAGTTTTAGGCTTAGGGTAACGTACCAATGGTTTCTTAGGTCATCCACAACTTTAAGACCGCTGATGCCACTGAGTGCACAATGCTTTACAATAAAACAGTCTGACATAGAAGATGTATCTAGAAATCATATAATTAAAAAAAAAAAAAACCCAAACAAAAAAACCCCAAAAAATCAACCAACAAATAATTATAAACATTACCTTAACAAAGGTGTCACCAATAATTTTTCTTTTTTCTTCAGGACTTGTAGTCATATTTAAGGTCTTGCTAATTCTTTTACGTGGAGTTCTGTCCTCATCCGAGATGGGCAGAGTTGTTGTACCGTTATAGAATGAATGAGCTGCATTCACCACTGCATGAAATTACAGGAATTTTTTGGCAAAACCAGTAAAGATTTTTATGCAAGGTTGCAATAAAAAAAAAAGTTTCACTCTATTGCTTTAAAAAAAGAAAATAAAAATCATTCCAGTCCTTTGACTATTAACTGCATTAAATAGGGCTGTTCAATACCTCAAGAATTAATTGTAACAAAAGCATTTTATTTCTCTTATTAACCTACTCTAGAGGGCAATTTTTTTCATATTATGAGGCTAGGCAACCGTGTGAAAGTTCAATTCTTGCTTCCCCTCTTAGAATATAATTTACTTGCTTTATTTAAATAGTTTACAGGATGGTATTTCCCCGAGGCCTTTCTGCAACCAAAATTAAATCATGCACTATTTACTCATGGTACATTATGCCTCTTAATTTAAAGAGGCTCTCAATGCAGAGAACAGCTAAGAGGCTCTTTGGCATCTTTTACCAGCACTGAACTCCATGACCTACAGAAGGAGCATTTGCAGCAAAGGGATTCCCTCAATTTGTTACTCTGGCAGCCTGCCAGAGCCCAGGTTTATTGGTCTACGGAGTGCAAGAATAAGACAGATTTTTCCAGTAAAAAAAAAAAGGAAAAATAAATCATTTAAAACAAAAGCTGTGTGTAGAACAAAGCTTAGACTTTGCTGCATCAGGATATTGCAGCCCAATCTGCAAGATGCTAAGGCGCAGGCTCCCCGCGCTGTTTCACACTGTCAGGCTAGTGGAAAGCATTGCTCACCTAGTGCCACGCTGCCTGACCAAAACACAGGAGGATCACCTGACAACAGTACTTACGCACAGCCCCAGGAATAGGCAGCTATTACTCATGAAATAAATCAGCCGGGCAGTATAAAGCAGCTCTCACTGTTTGCACAACTCAAACATACATAATTTGTCTTCTCTGACCTCCTTGTACTTCAGGTACTAAAAACTCTAAACCTTCTCATCAGCCATGACAAGGTACCTTCCGCTCTCTCGTAATGTATTGCTTCTCAACAAGCTACTCCAAAAACAACTAAAATGCACCTATTTAGAAGCCAAGAGAGCAAAAAAAAAAAAGCCTTGAAAAAGTAATTTTGGCTATAACAGCATTCAATCACCCAAATGAGCTCACAGTTTAAAAAGAAAGAGATCCAGGACAAGAAATAAAGCCCCAGTGGAGGACTGTTAGCCAAGCTGCTGAAGAAAACTGCAATCAAATGAGTTTTGCAGCAGCTGAAAAGGATTAGTCAACCATCAGCAGAAAAGCGACTGAGCACCAGTGACCGCGGCACATATCCACTGCTTTGCTGTGCCCCAACAGCAGATAGCGGATCTCAACAACTGAAGAGATGGGTCAGTTCATGTATGCTCCAATCAAGTAAGTAAGGCTTAATGTTTTAGGTTTGAAATTTTGTGAATAGGCCTAGGTTGTTCCAAATTAGCAACCATGCTTTGGTATGTAAAGCCTCAGAACCGCGAAGATCAATTCAAATCAATGAAAAAAACCACTAAATGTACATTTTAGGAGACTGCCCACATCATTAGTGGTATTAGGCATATTTAACAAAATTATGGTACCTTTAACTTGAATCCCAAGTTTTTTGAGTGCTTCCTCCACAGACTGACTCTCTCTTTTGCGCATAAATCCATTATCTATGTGTACAGCTATGACCTGATCTCGGTTTAAAGCTCGGTTCAGGAGAGCAGTACACACTGTTGAGTCCACGCCGCCACTGAGTAAAACCTAAGGATGAGGAAAAAAGGAAAAAAACCAAAATTTGGTCAGCTGTCTATGGGGAAAGTGTTAACAAATAATTAAGATACAACTATGAGGATCAGAACAGACCACTGACTTATAGTCAATGATTTGGAAGAAAACAAGACGTCAAACAATGTATCGACCCAATCGTGCAAACTTTCTAAAACCTGTTTAATGTATTACCCAAATCACAATTCTCCATTTTGCAAATTAACCTGAGTAACTGCAAGCGTCAGTGTTTCTGTCAGCCTTTTGCAAATAATCTTTCAGCTTCAATTCAATCTACTTACCAGGACTTTTGATGAGCCCACTTTCTCTTTGATATCTTGAATGCACTGAAGTTCTCTGTTTTCTACCGTAAAGGTACCACTGCATCCCGCGATATCATAAAGAAAATTCTTCAGGATCATTTTTCCATTCACCGTGAGGCTAACTTCAGGGTGGAATTGTGCTCCATACAGTTTTTTAGATTCATTCGCTATGCCTTCATTGGTGCAAAGGAATGAGCATGACAGAAAAAAAAAAAAAATTGGAAGTGAAATGCATACTCAAGAAAGTCAAGCATACACTTTGAGTGATTTATTCTGCCACATTTTGCCACAAATCACCAATCAAAACTAAAGATTCTGGTTAAGATTAGGAACAAGGGTACTGTTACATATCTAGAACACGCAATCCCTCAGAAACCAAGGAAAACACTCAGACATCCTAGGAAAACCATTGTGAAAACAGGAAATCAATTACATTAATTTTTTCCTCACCACATGATACCTCATACAACCACACAACCAAGCCACACTGGCACAGCTGTATCTGCGTTAAAAGGGTTGTGCTGGTCAAGCTGTGCAAGTGTCCCTACAGGGGTACGGTTGTGAGCACCACCACTCTCTTTTTTTTTTTAAACAGTCTCTGGAAGGTTACTTTGAGTAGATCACAATACTGCACCTCGCACCAAGTAAGTGTTGGTCAGACTGGAATTAAAAAACCAGTAGGGAAACTGCCTAATTCCACTGGCCTGCGTTAGACTTCCAGGTACGCTGTGTCACTGTATTTTCTTTTGCTGCTGGAAGCCCGGCTACCATCTTACCAGCATTTTCTTGCTTGCTTAGGCACAAGGAGCCCACGGGAAATGGCACAGGAAAGTGTTGTGGATAGGAAAGGTACAACTCTGTTTCTAAAGCCTCCATAAAGCGGGGTTAAAGTTATCGGAGCTCTGGCGGAGCTTGCACACTGGACGCAGCAAACTTGACATAGCAAAACAATTTTAGAGCAATTTGAGTAGGCATGAGTTCTAGACTGCTTCGAAGGCAAGCCAGAATATAATGAATGCTCTGTCTAATCTTAACAGTAGTTTGGAAAGAATCTTTCCGTAACAAAACATCTTTAAGTCTTTTAAGGCCAGGTTTTCTCAAATTAGTTACCTGTCTGATTTAAGAACAGTATCTTAAGCTTTTTTTCTTTTTTTTAAATGGAAGATTTAAAATAAACCAGGTGAATACTTTGAGATCTTACTAAGTGGCTCAGCAAACTTAAGACCCATCTCCCAGGAAAGAGACTCAAAGCGGCTGTTTGGCATTCAATAATTCAAGTAGCTTTCAAAAATCAAATTCTAAGGTCCTACATTCTTCTGTGATAATGTGTGTAGTGTTTGAAACACTGCTTTCAGCACAGACATTTTTGCTCAGTTGAACATTCATGCAATAATATTAACTACAATAACAAGTTAATCAAGCTTTAATAACAATGTTTGACTTGGACTATTACAGTGCAAAAACCAAACACCGTTTACACTGCACACTACAGTACATGTCTTCCTCTCCCCTGCCTTAAGGGCACACAACATTTTATTTCAAAAAGAAACACACATGCATACTTTAAAATAACATAAACTGTAAAAATAAAGTTAAATTTTCCTTAAACCACCAATTTAAAAAGAGGACCATTCATTTTCATGTCTATTTCTTTCTTTATTATCATGACAGCACAACATGCAAGCAAACACATACAAGAAATTGTGAAAAACAATTCACTTACTTGGCAACTAAATAACAGAGATATTCTGTTCCCATTTGGTTTTAACTACTGTCTGCCATAATTCTTTCCTTTAACAAAGAGTATCTAAAGACAATTTCAGTATAAAATAAATACCTGCTATAATGTTCCCAGACTGTGCAACCACTTTGAATCCATCAGCTACTTTATCCACGCTATCTCCGTGAGTGAGGAGCACAAGCTCTTCCTTCTGAAGGCCCCTAAACAAAGATTAAACACTAGAATCAATTAAAAAAAAAAAAAAAGACTTAACTACCTGCGTTTCCAATAGAAGCCCTTAGGGATCCAAATAAAAGCACATCTCGACTGACTAGGCCCACTTGAAATATATGCAGGATTTCCTTCCCAGAAACAGTCACCTTCAACTCCGAGATGCCTCCATTGGAAGCTACAGAAGTTCTTGTACAACACATCCTTCACACAAGAGGTAATTTTTCTTAATTCAGAAGGTTGTGGGTTTTTTTTCATAAACACGCCAATATTGATGTATCCCCTCTTTGACATGTAGAGCGATCTAGAGTCAATTAGAATACTTAGAGTCCTGCTTTTTATTTCAATGAAGTGAAGTTTTCTTGCTCAACACTGTTTTCAGGACAATTTGGGCACCTCAGACTTTAGGCAAGGTATAAAGTTCTGCAGTAGCCCTACAGGGGAAAGTTAATAAAATTGGAAGGCCAGGTATGAGTAAACTGCTAGAATTATTACAAGGAACTTGAGAGGCACTGACAAACTACCAAGAAATCTAATTCTCGTTTTATAAAACATCACAAAGCAATTTTAAAGGAAGGTAGAAAACAAATGGTTTCAGATTTTCTACTACCTTTCAAAAATTGGATGGGTGCCAACCAATACAAGAGTAATGCACTGCACAGAAGAAGGATATGAGAGTTTAAAACAAAGATTCTTATGTTGTGGTACACTTTATGGTGTCTCAATATAGACGTTTACTTTAAAATAAAGGGGTTTACACAATATTCCAAGCAAATATATCTGCATTTCTAGAGTCAATCGAGAAGTTATGCCTAAGTATTTGTTTAAATTAGTAACTTGCTTACTTATGAACACAGCTGTAAAAGTTTCATTAGAAGTTATCAGATAAGCATGGGTGCAATTTCACTATTTTCTTTAGAATAAGCTTCCTCTCATCCAGCCACCAATTTCCACACTGGTATTTCCAATATTGTTTTGATAACTTAAAATGTCTATGTACCTAAACAGTGAACATGTGTTATCCAGAGTAATGCTGAACACTCCATCTTCTCTAACACTCTTCTTGTGCACCGTACCCCCAAATACCTTATTCATCATCTGTCAAAACAAAAATATTATATGAAAAAGCACCACACAATCTAGTACCGCTTTATACCTCAGTCTGCCTATGGCTGACAACAGCTCTAGCCCTCCAATACATACCAACCTAGTTTTTCATGATTATACTAATTTAATGTATCATTTTGCAAAATGATAAGAATTCTCCTCAAAATTAATAATTTTTCTGTATCGGGCTCGTTCCCTTCTGCTGGCCTTCCGTCAGCAGAGCTGGGGACCGCTGCCGCACAAACCAGCAGCAGAAATCCACAACAGCTGGAAATAGGTAAAGATTTGCAAAATAACGCATATTCAATAGTGTACATCTACTTGCACGTATAAACGGCTGCTCTGCAAATCAGCTGAGTATCTGAGGCCAGTTATCATAAAAACAGTTAAGCTGCTGAACAAAAATCTGATTTATCTATCCTTTAGTTAAGGGCCCTCAGATTGGCTTAAACTTCTCAAAATCTGGCTCCTCAGCTCTGGAGAACCAGTCAAAAACTTGAGTTTACCCCCTTCGTGTTATTTTTGTGACTCTTAATAATCCTTGCTGTATCAGAGTAGTACAATTCTCAACCAGGTTTTTTTCTTGCCAAAACCTCACCTTGTTGTTTGGAGTTGGATATCTGCATTTTAGATTTCAGAAGTCTCAAAATAAAGATTTTTTTTTTTCCTTGCAAATATAACTGGCAACTTAAAAAATATTTTTAGAGTTTCACCTTCCAACTACTTTAATTTTCAGAGATTTAAGGCTTTATTTTAGACCTAGTTTGATATTACACTTACTGTGCTTGACTGATTTCCATCTTTTATAATGAAGTAGCAGTGCGTTAATACACACACACTTGATTCATTTCCGTGAAGTCAGCCTTAAGGAACTCCCCCGCTTGAGGCTAGCTAACGTGGTTGTCAATTTGCTTGGCATTTTAAGGCATATTTTAACATAACACACATTTCCCTTTAAAACAGGGAGTGCCAACATTGTTTCCGTAATTACCAGCCTTTCTAAAGGAGTTTTTCCAGCCATTATTCAGCACCTCTGAAGGCCTAGTAAATCACTAACCCTGGAAAAAACCAAGATGCACAAGCAGAAGTCATGCATCTAATCCATCCCTTGTCTCCTTGGAAGTTTGTTTCTTCACTCAGCTTGGATCTACTAGATCACTGCAGGATCACCAGTCAGTCCTGAGGTAAGTAAGTGTTTCGGGGGGGCGGGGGGAAGGGTTTAAGCACTCTTAAGAACTATGCTAGAAACATTCCACGCTCGAAAACCAAAGGGAAAAACTATTTCACTTGTTTACATGAGTGGCACATTTTCCAATACCAACTAGACAGAATTAGTTAATGACTGCCAGGTTATATTTATTGTGCCAAAAAAAAAAGGCAGGTGGAACTCAATTCACAGCACTTAAGCAAAGAAAACCCATTTATGCTATTGATATGACAGAGCCAAGAGAAAAATACACAGTATGCTCAGTTTACCAATCAGCACTTTAAAAGTATCTTTTGCACATGTGGCATACTGCTTATATTTGAAAAGCAGGTCCTTTAGCAGTTCATCTTCAGTTAGTATCAGAAATGAGGCCCGGAAGACTGCTGTAGACAAACATATCTCTCAACAGCACCTGCATGCCATAGCAGATTCCAAGAACTGGTTTTCCTATTGTAAATATTGCTGGGTCAAACCATGGTGCATCTTCTGCATACACAGAGTTTGGTCCTCCAGATATAATGATAGCTCTGCAGACAAAAGATAAAGAAAACATTAACTCAAAAATATTGTTTACTTTAAAAATCTCTTTATTTGCTTTAAACATTGACTCATAACACTCTTAGAACTGTACATATTCTAATGTAAATTTTAACACAGATACCCTAACATATAGCTTAACTTCGCTATGCTACAGCTGTCAAAACCAGCAGCTTACCAGAGAAGTATTTCATCAGTTTAAACAAAGTCAAATATAAACCAGCATAAAAAGTGACTGCATTTTAAATTCCTCATAGCCAAGTGTCAACTACGAGACAAGCAAGATGGTTAGGATCAAATGCAGAGTATTAGCATTAAGATATATATATACACTTCATGATGTCTGTGCCATCTGGAGGGGAGATGCATTCAAAAAACAGACTCCCAAACTTCTAGTGCTGCTGAGAAAATGTCCCTTAATCCACCCTGATTACAAAGTGAGATGGCATTAGCAACAGGTTGTGAATTAAAAGTCCAATACATGCAAACATTTATGGTTTGAAGTTAATACTTCACGCTGTAACAGAAAATTAAATCTTTTCAAAGGAGAAGAGATGCCTTTGCAAACCATGATGATTTGCAAGATCGTGAACTGCAGAAGTACCAGCCAGTTGGGCAATGCTTTTTGGCTTCGACCCAGGATCGAACACGGGTGCACCAGACCTTGGACTCGCGTACTGTTTATTTCGCAGAGAACATCAAATCCATTATTCAGAGCGAGAAATGAAAAATGGGATGAGAGAGAAGTTGCATACCCAGGATTAAATGCATCTAATAAAGCTTTCTTCTAGCATTATTTAGAGTGTTTGTCAGGCAAGTACTGACAAAATAGAGTATTTCTATTTTTAAGCAGCAGAAACAGGCAGTGCGCTTACAACATCTGTACCACCGGCAGAAATAATCGCGTAGGAACAAGCCCACGTACCGAACGCCACCTCCCCACCGCAGTCACGCAGGGTACCTGCTCCCGCCGACGCGCGGCTGGACCTCCCCAGCAGCCCACCTCCACCTCCCCAGCCCGAGCTCCTCGTTTCAACGCAGGGGACGAGGCAGAGGGTGGATGGGGGCACCCCGCAGAGCCACAGTACAGCGGCTGGCGAATTCGAAGAGGCAGCATTTATTTCTTTGTATGTCGGGATCTACAAGTGAGCTTTGGAGTAAGCGTACAGCTGACACAGGTGTAGTTTTACACTGAACAGCCTTGACAACTAGTACCTGCTGTACATGTACAGGCACTTCTGTTCAAGTCGGAGACGTGATGGATTTCCTAAACTCAGACGCTGCTAGATAGAGACTGAAAACTCTTAATGCCTGGTGGTACTACTGCTTCTAATAATGCCACGTACAGAAGCATTTGCTTAAGTGCCATATGTACAGAAGACTATTTAACATTAATTAAAGGAAATATAGCCACACCTACAAATTGAACATTCTTACAAGAAGTCAAAATAGTTATACACTGTCCTATTCAAAAAGTAGAGTCTTAAAAATCTACTTTTTTCCATACCAATTAAAATCCCACAGAATACAGAAAGGTTATCCAATGTGCCCAAGTATTAAAGAAAAAAAAATTATGAGCTGAGGGCGAAAGAGGAACCTGCACCTTCTCAACTGTCGAGGAGAAATTAAAACTAGTATGGGATGTAGATTTTGAAAGTTTTACTGCAACACCATGTAATTTCTTACATACCTTCTTGCATCGGTATGAATACACCTTTTTCTGGTTTACCTTAAACCACTTCCAAAACAACGTGACCTAGCTTTGGAAAGCCTGTTTGCAATGGATTAAAGGCACATCAGGAACCACGTCAAAATACCAAGAGCAAAATGCACGCATTGATACCCCAACCTCAGGACTCACGCCAGAGCTCAGACAGTGCCAGAATTCAGACCGACGCCAGGGGAGCCCCCGACTGCGGCACCTCCTCGGCCCAGGATCAGGATCTTGTGGAAACTGCTAACGTTTGTATCACATTTACATGAAGCTTATCTCTAGAGATTGTTCTGAAGCTATGAAAATTGAGGAGCTGGCTTTGTAAACACAACATGTAAATACAATTTAGCAAAATGTTCAATCTTGCTGCCTGTCTCAAACCTTAGCACCGACGAAAGCGCAGCTCCTCGGCCCATTCAATGCACGAGCTGCAACATGGAACCCTGACTATTCCCATGACACGTGGAATATATATAAAAATCTGGCAGTAAAACCACAAGCTCATTTCTACAGCAGTCACTGAATGAAGGCACCCAACGGCTGGCGTCAATATTTGTTGAGCTTTCCTGGATGCAAATGATTGACTGAGGCTGTGGACACAAAGCTTATTGACCAGTCTGGGTAACCGATAACCTGAAACCACTACCCTAACCTTGAGAAGTGACCTTTTGAATGAAGGGGGTTTGCCATATTTTAGAGAGCAATTATTTGGAATGACAAGTCCAACAGGTCTAATCAGAAGACTTTGAAAAACCTTCAACTGCGAAAAGAAAAGAGGAAAAGGTCTTCCCACTACAAACCCACATCAATACAGCGCAGGTCTGAGACAAAACTTCATTAGTACTATGACCCACACCTCAAACCCAACACACAGGAGATGCAGGAATTCTTTTTAAACCAGTAATTAGGTATGTCCATCTTTTAAAGGCTTGATTGTTGGAGAATTATAAACAAGATCTGACAAGAGAAGGTATTTTTCAGAACATTTCTGAAAGAGAAATTCTTCACACAACAGCTACCTTTGCTGGATAGATCCAGCAGTTCCTGGGTTTTCTGTTCTCTGTGTTTCAGAAGAGATCAATAAGCTCCTATTTGACTTACTAAACTACTGGTTACTGGTTCACTAATTATCATTGATTAGAAAAATGCAATTCTGCAGCAAAGCACTGTTTTATCTGTTGGCGGGCACAACCAAGAAGCACACATGCAATCCACACATGGATTTGTACCAAACTGACAAGTAAGGTCTGTGATAATTTGTAGACTTCAGGGTATTTATTTGCCTCACACAAAAGAGGCATTCCCTGGTAAGCCTAATAAAACAAGAAGAAGAAACGTACAAAGTACTAAATAATTGTGAGACCTTTCTTGCTGCAAATAATGAGTGGTAGTTTGAGTTAGTTTTTTTAGTTGCTTCCCAGAAAGAGTTTGGCATGATTTACCACAATATCTTCAGTATCCAAGTTAGTTATTTAATTTTTTTTTAAAATCAAGCTAAAGAAAATCATTTTTAGAAACTCACAAAACTTGTTTTCTTGATTAATAGCTACCCTAGTTTAACAGGTAAAACAACAAGATCATCTAAATTTTTGCACACACATATGTAAAATGCAACCTCTTAAATTATACTTACAAATGGAAATGATTAAAATGACATTAAGAAGCAAATATACAAAATTTATATTGCTGCACAGGTTCCCCCAGCAAAACTCAGGTGTTTCTGTGGATAAGCTAAAGATGCAATCATTAACATCATTACAATGAAAGCTATTGCACATAAAAGCCCGGGCAATTACCACCGCTGCCAACATCCACAGATACCGTTACACCGAAAGGAGAACAAGCAGAACATACGGGCAGAGGCATCGCAGGAAACCACCTACCGAAACCCTTGTTCTCTGATCGCAAAGGCTGGCGTTTCCAAAGGGAAGATCTCTGACTGGACGAACAGCTCGCGCACCCGACGATCTATGACTTTCCCGTACTGCGCTCCGGCATCGAGTATGACAACGGCTCCCTCGTAGTGGTGCTGCCCATCCTTGAGCTCTCCTCCGGCGTTCTCCGGCTGCGAACATCACTCACGTCAGCGCTTTATGGTGACACATTGCAGACCGCAGACTTGAAGCCAGATCTCTTAACAACTAACATCTGCAAAGCTTGCTAAGGTTGCCTATACGTTAATTTATGATTAAAATGATAAAGACTAGCCAAGAAACTTCTAAATGAAAAAATCCTCAAGTTTATAAGGACCAGTAGATGCACTGGCAAGATAAAGGGGCGATACATTAACACAGCACATCCCTCCCAAGCAGCCACACAAACATGACATCCCCATCCCCCAAAACAAACAGGGTACAAGTTAGGGAAGAAAAACGCTAATTAGCTAACGAAGGCAGAGCTTTCCATAAATAAGAAGTCATATGTCCTGTTCACCACTACAGCCACTCCAACTTTTTCCATTTTACAGTTCCATATAAAACCCAGCACACCCTATGATAATTAAGAGCATGTGTCTTTTTCTCAAGCAAAGCAGGAGAGTGCAAAGTCAGAAGAAAAATGTTTTTCCTCATCACACTGCCTCATATGCTGAACTTTCACTTGACATTACCTCCTGGAGAGAATAAAAAGGAGAAATGGAGAACAAATGTCTCTGCTAAATGATTGAAAAAAAAAAAAAGAAAAACAACTTGTGAATGCAGCATTCAAGCAGATTGCACATCGGAACAAAGCAATGGTTCTTTTTGACCCCATCACATTTGAATTGGTTGGCCAACTTCAGCTAAATCTGAAAGAGGGCTAGAAAACGCAAGGACAAGTTTCTTGTTTTTTTAAAAGAAATTGTGAAAAGAGGCAGCTATTCCATGGAAGTGTCTCCTTATCGGAGGATCTTCTAGGAAGAATGTGAACACAACCGCACTGTAAGACACCAAGAAATTCATGCAGAAAAAATTCTGCTGCTTAAAGAAATTCCTTACTTTGGGGGTGTTTCTCCCTTAACTGGAAGCTTACACTGTTTCCTTGCCAATATAGTCTGATGAAGGAAAAACTGGGAAGGGTTTTACTTTGGCAAACACTGCCTCAAAACACATTTTGAAGCTTACGACCATTTCAAGTTTTACTTATGGCATGTTGGAGTTGTTCTGCATGTTTGTATCAGGCAACACATCCTTCGACCAAGGGCTCACAGGAGGTTCCACCACTGCTGCTCGGGGTCCGAAGAACGCCGGGGCAGCCTGCAGCGTGCCATGGTATTTCCATGTGGGTTAGATAGTCACCCCCACATCAACCACCAGTCATTCTGGAGGAGAGCATCATCCTGCTGGGACACATTCTCCCCAACAAATACACAGCAAAGGCTGCCTTTGAGCTTTCTTCCTCGGCTACCAAGATACATCCCAGATAACCGTCTTCAAATTAGTCAAGGCAGGCAAGCACGCTGGAAACTTCCAAAGTTTACACTAGCTGGAAAAGGTTTTATCTGAATTAGAGGACATAAGCAGAAAAAAATAGTGCCAAATCCCTCAAAAGTCTAAATCCAGGTTAGAGTCAGCGACTTAATTTCTTTCCTTCAGCTGGTAGCTGAGTGTGCCTGATGGGGAGCTCTTAAAGACTTTTTAGTCCTGGGTTACACAACTAAAAGGGCACGTGTTGGAGGAGAACAGATTTCAGCAGCAAATGCCCCTTCAAACCCCCTGGTCAGATGGAGAGAGGTCACCAGAACTGTCTTCCCTTCCAGTGAAGGGAAGGAATCACTTTTAGAGTAATTCTGGGCATTTTCACCTAGCAATTTCTAAATTAGCAGTTCTTGTGAGAAAGACCAACATCCTTATTCTTTCCTGATCCCATCTTGTGGCAAACACTATTCCTTGCAGTGCTATTTCTTATTAAAAGTCTTTAATTGTTTCAGAGCACGCGCTGTAGCTTGTACCATGAAGGGACAGAGCTCTGCAGCCCTCTCGGCTTAGTGTCTGAGATTGTCCACTTCCACCTGCAAGAGAGCAGGGTGGGATGTAAGCAGTCCCCTCCAGACCCCCGGGCGAGCCAGGGGTGCGTAGCCAGCCCTCGCACGGATGGGTCCCACCTGCCAGAGTGCTACCCACACGTCGTACCCTAGCGCTTCCCAACCTGCAGACCACCCCTAAAACCTGCAGAATGATTAAGAAGCAAGTAGTACAACTCTGTGAAGGCAGCTTTTACATTTCACAGTAAAAAATACTACAACCAAGTTATTGCTGGCATCAGCTCAGCTGGACCAATGGCCAAGCATTTACATCTGTAGCTAGGAAATAAATCCTGTTTCCAGTGCCCTCCCCTGAAGGCACCGAGCTGCTCTGAGCAGTCAGGTGTAGTTAGCTGGGCCCAAGGAAGAGCTGAGGGGCTGACACGCATGTGAAAACAAGAAGAGCTCAAAGTTACATTGGCAGGAGTTTGAGAAACGTTGCATAAGGCGGCATAAGTAGGTCTGTATCTCAAACGAACCTGCACCTTTCTTCGTTCTCCTCAGCGAAAGCAGGACAGTGATACATACCCCTTCGTCACAAGGACGAACGGGACAAGCCTCTGCGCTGCAGTCACCCAGATGTGACCACTCGGCTCCCGCGCTGGCAAACCCCTTCACTGAGCCGTCCCTGCTGCTTCACTGCTGCCAAGTACAGCACCATTTTGCACAATGGTCAGAGGAACACTTTCACAGGTAACTGCATCAACATTAGAATTACTTCTCAATCGTTTCTGTGGCCCTGGAAGACGGCTCTTTAAGGCTTCAAGGAATAGCTTATTGCCTGAGTTTCACTGGGAGTCCATTAATACCCTCCCAAAATCTCAAAAGCCAGTGTCTAATCATAGCTCAGGTCTGTCCTCAGATGATGCTAAGGGCACTTGGGCTAAAATCCAGTAAAAGTACTGCATCCATTGAGCAACGCAGATCTCCCTACGGGGAACATGTAAGATGAGGAAGGCAACATGCACCTCACCAGAAAAAAAAAAAAATTATTCAATCAGCCTAATAACTCGCTGCTCTCTTAGATGTAGGCTTAGAATAAACTACAGGCTGAAATAATTTTCTCCCAGTACTACACAGGGCACTGCCCACTGTCCCTTCCTCCTGCAGGCATCCTTGCAGCACACCCCCAGCATACATCCGAGCAAGCCCCATCCCGGGAGTTAACACAGGCGACTATCACCGCGTGGACTGCGTCAGAGGTGTTTTTGTATTTCGCTCTTGAGCTAAAGTCGAACTGTAAGGAGGTTCAGCTCTGAAGAGAGCCCACTCTCTTAGAAACGCTACCGTAAATCACACGGAAAAAGAGGAAGGAGAAAGGCAGTAAGTCAGTACAGGATCTGGCTTTATTTATTTAAAGGCACCGTTCCAAGGCTAGAGATTTGGAATCCAAATTTAATAAGGAAAACTTAATTTAATAAAATCAAAAAAAGAACAGATGCTGTTAACGTGCGGCCAACATGGCAGTTTAGCTCATGCGTTTGTATGCCATACGCATGCCAGGAGAAAGATGAAGAGGATAAGACAGCCCAGCCCCTGCTGGGACAGGGCTTATGGAGCCAGCACCTCTTCCTAGCAGGGATTCTCCAGTTTCTAATAAGAGCTCTTTTTCCCCTCAGTAGGGGTATAACTAGAGTTCCTTGTCTTCTCCTGGTCTATTTTCACAAAAATCTGGAGAACCTGCTGGTTTTGAGAACTTCTGTTGAAGCTGGTTTGACAGCACCAAGGCGGTGCAGGTGCTGGGGCAGAGCAAAGGCACCAGCCCGTTGTCCCGAGGGCAGGACTAAGAAAACAGAGCGGGACTGGAATAGGCCAAGAGAAAAACGGGGGGCAAAAAGTCTATATTCAGCTAATTAAAATCACAAGAGTCACCCTGAAAACCACCTCACACATGAAAGATTGCTACTGTTCTCTACGACTGATGAAACAAATAAAGCGATTACACTATCAAAACGCTGTACCTCCAGCCTGCCGTTTGCCTGCTGTTTCACAAACCCAAGACCTGGGACCGAGGTCCCGAGAGCCACCTGAACTGTCGCCACCTCCGACTGCACTGCCACGGCAAGGGTCAGCCTTGATCCATCATTTCAGCTCTACCACTTGGTAACGCTGGAAGAAAAAAGCTTCCATCGCTGCTGGGCTTTTTTTGTGTCAAAAAAAAAAATTACGAGTTCTATAATGGTGGTAGGAGACATGCCATCAGGCTTGCATTACCAGCTAAGGACACCACGTACCTTATTCTTCGGTGCACCTACCTAGTGCTTTAAACTAAGTCTGCAGGTTCCTAAGAGCCCACTTCTGGAGAATCAGGGAATTTTTCAGTATTTCATACACCCACACGCTCGCAGGATTTTCATTAATGCAATTTATAAAACACATTAAGATACAGAACAGTCATATTCTGGAGTACCAAGAAGCACCTGGCAGAGCCCAGTCTGCAGCAGCAGCCCATCTGTCCAAGCCCTCAGCCCTGAGCTTTCACCCACACTAATAACTTCGGACAAGCCTAAACCAGGAGCCTTGATCTGGCACTTTCAAGCCAGCACAGGTTTTACAAGAGTTTAATTGTTTCCCTGTGGTATTAAAATTAAGCAGGTATAAGAACGCTTACCCATATTTTTTCAAAGTATAACAGGAAAGTAACCCCTTCAAACTCAGGCAATCCTCCGAGGCTGATACGAGAGCCCCCAACCCGTTATCTCAGACAAACTTTAATTTACATAAGTCGCATGCAGATTTCCAATGGCCGCGGGGAGCCAGCCCCCTGCGGAAACTGCTCTCGTTACCCGCTTCCTGCGAGAGCGTGGTCATGGAAGATGAGCTTCGCATCGCACAGCTAGCTGCGGGTGCGACCACCCCAGGGGCCCTCAGGAGCAGCCCCGGCCAGGAAAGGAGATTGTGTTGACGGTCAGGGAAGAGC